GCCCCCTCGGAAATACAGAAAGTAGCAGAGGGGGGTGGTGGTCCGCAGGAGAGAACCATCAAAAAAGATGAGGGGGGGAAGGTCTCCCAGAGGGCTTCCTCAACCCTCCTTGTTCCTTAGCAGTAATGCTAATTAACACAGCAGGAGAGGTTAACAAGTGAAATGAGACTCACCCAAAGTGGGACAGGTTCAGGCTTTGAGATATTGTGCCCAGTATTGCTCCTATGCCCAGTTCCTCCACAGAAGAGGGAAGGTGAGCATTTGCTCCGTCCCTTCTTCCCTTGCGAATTTGTCTCCAAGGCTGTGGGAGGCTAGCACAGGAATTGGGGAGGTGGCCCTGCCTCTCTCTCTCTCTCTCTCTCTCTCTCTCTGGACCCACCACTCCAGCCTAACCGGATAGTGGGTCAAGGGCAAGCAGCATATTCCTGATCAGTTAAAAGCAACCCTAAAAATAGAGGCTTCAAAAGCACCAAGACTGTGTGGCAGCTCCGGAAACTCGCTTCCTAGCTGGGTGGGGCTGAGGGTTCAGCGCATTCACCAGCTTGAATGTTTCCTCCAAGGCCTCTTTCTCTCTCCCTGCAGCTGCTGCTTGCTTCTAGTTCGGTCTGTACAGAGGTGCGTCCTCCTGTAGCATCAGCCCAGGCCTGGCCGACCCGAGAGAGAAAAATGTTTTCTCAACTGCCTCCCCAACTGGGTTAAGCAAAGATTGTGTATACCGGGATAGCAGTCTGTTGAACAGGGTGCCATGCATTGTGGGAATGTCACTATTTCTGAAGTGCTCCAGGTGTGGCTATCAATGGGAGCAATGCTGGAGCAGGCACTGGGTTTGCTTTCACTGATTCAGCTAAACTAGAAACTTTCTGAACCAAAACCTCTGTGATATTTGAGCTAGATGAGGCCAGGAGCGCAAAGAAGGTTGCAAAACCACAGCCTCTTCAAAGTTACACAATGTTCTCGTTCCAGTATAATTTCCCATCATATCCCTGCCTGTGACTTCCTCTTTATTGATTCTATTACCAATTGCACCCTCTGATTTAAGACAGGGCACAATCAACTGAAAATACACGGTGCACTCTATGGAATGAGCAGGCAGTGCCTGCTGCCCCCACTTCCGAAGCAGAGCTGCTTGCCTCTAATGGAGCCCAGGATCACACTCATAATTTATTTTCCAGTTCTCGGGCATTTTGGCTTTGCGTCAAGAGAATTCCATAGTTAGGACCTCAATCTCTAATCCGGTCTGCAGATATTAGGATTGCATCCTGCTGTGGGCAGATGGAATGTGTATGTGTGTGTGGAGGGGGGGGGAGCATTCTGATGCAGTGTCTTCTTCCAAAGTTTTTAATTAGAATCTACTTTATGAGAGTAGTAACTACAGCAACAAGCACTAGATCACCATTTTCAATTATTGCCCTCCAAATATGTTGAACTAGCATGACTGATACATCTGAAAGACACCAGTTTGGAGAATGCTAGCACAGAGATCAATTGATGCTCAGGTAAATAATGGCTGTTCATAAAGGCAGATCTGCAAACACAACCCAATGCACCAGATTTTAGAGTGAGGACTACAATGCTATGACATAATGGCTGCTAATTTAGGATACGCCTGGCACAGACTTAGGATGCAGGCTTACCTAAGCCCTTCTCAGAGCCTCTGCAAGGAGTCTTAACATCAAAAAGTGCTATAGTCTGTGTTGTAGCTTGTTGTATTTTAAATAACCCCTTGCAGCGTGAACAACTTCTCCAACTCACCTCAGTCAAGTGCAGACATGCCATGTAGCAGTCAGACCTCAAGTCTGGGGGGAAATATAGACAGAAGCAGAAGCTGCTTTCCATCTTTTTCATGGATATTTTAAAAGAGCAAAACATGGACCTTCAGGCCTGGCAGTCCTACAGCTATACGGTTTCCATCTCAAGTATTTCATATTGCTATGATTCTTTTTCAAAAGCACCTTTTGCAGAGGGGACAGATTCAGTTGAAAGGCAAAAAGTCCTTCACTCAAAACCAAAAATGGGCAACCCCTTAATTTTGCTGGAGTTCAAAACATTTTTATGGGTTGGAGTAATGTCACACGTGTGGGTGTTGTCCCTTTCTCTGATACCTTGCGCTCCTGCAGAATTCTATTTAATTTTCCATCCCTTGTGAACAACTGAATGGGCACCCTGCATTTGATTCAATGTCCAGATAGCTCAGCCTTCTCCACACATGGTAGGCTTAAGAGGTATCCACTGAACTACAAGCCCTATTATCCCCATCTGCTGGATGGAGGATCCACTCAATTGGAAGAGGTCCAAGTTGATGAAAGATTCTTTTGTTGACTGCCTATTTTGGTCTGCAATCCAAACTGGACTGATCCTAGTTAACAGGGCCTTGCGTTATATGTTTCTTCCAAACATGCAGAAAGCTGAAAGCCCGCTGCAGCTTTGTGATCTGTCAACACTCAAATTTGCAAAACTGCCAGGATGAGTAGCTAAGGCAAGGCAAATATCTGAATACCTCAAACATTACAAGGGGAAAAAGTAGCACCATCTAATTGTGTGAGGGAATATCCTATAAAGGAAAAGATTATTCTTCTTTTGTGCACAATGGCCTTTGACAAGGCCTCTGGGATAGGTCTGAAGACAGGAAGAGCTGCCCATAAATAATACAATCTTTTCCAAGTGCTTTTTTTCTTCTCCCCACCCTTTTCTACGGCAATGGAAGCTATTCCATCACAGGGCACATTCTCCGTCTAAAATGTATTATTTATGTTTGAAAAGCACTGAAAGTGTGGGGCAGTCTGGAACATTATAATGTGATATCGAGCCATTCCTTTTTCCAAAGACTTCTAAAATAAAAGGCTCATTTTTGAATAGCAAATGCTGTTCAGGTTGGGTGAATAAGACTACAGACACCCCCAAATAAATTTGAATGTTTTCTTAGTTGAACAATTATGTATCATCTCTAAGTTTTAGGGAAAAAAATAGAGAAGGATGGGAGGATTGCTGAGGAGGGGAGTATCAAAAAAATCACAAGGGCAGCCATAAATGTGTAGGACTTTGATCTGGAGTTCCAGTCTCCCTCTTGGCTTAAATTGTGCATACTTCAATGCTTATATATTTTATTTTATGTTATTTGAGAATTGATTTCATGTTGCTCTAGACCCTGGGAATGAGCTGCACCAAGCTAATAAAATACCTTTCTCACAAAGAGCATTTGTGCAAATGGCTTGTTAAAAGGAATCAGCAGACAGAGTGGGAGGAGGAGTGGAATCCAGATCTGGACTGCTAAGGGAGCAAAATATGAAACCTCAATTTCTCTTTCCTCCACCCCATATTTAATTTTTAAAAAACTTATACACAGTTGCTAAAGGATAAGCATTGCTATTTTCTGGAAGAGCTGCACATTCTCTTGGCTTTCAGATATTTTTCTGAGGAATTCTGAAATTCTATACCATCGGAAGGGCTAAGCCTGAGGAATATTGACTAAAATGCATGCTTTTTCTAAATATGGTACAATTTCTTTGTAAAAGCCATGCTTCGGGAATGTAGCAAAAGTGGGAAGAATAAAGCAGTCCCCAAGTCTTCTGCCAATTCAAGATGGAGGAATGATTTATGCAGAGCAAATATAAGAAAATCAGGACTGACAACTGAGAATATCACAATAAAGTAAAATATAATCACATTCATTTCAGTCACATTGGTTCTCACAATTTGAAATGATACTGCCAAAAGCGGTATGCAAAGCCATAGCTGATCCAATATAAAATTCCATATGGTTAGGGTTTTTTTCTTTTAAACTTTTTTCCCCCCAGTTAAAATTGTCCCTGTAAACTGCTACTTAGTCTGAGGATCAGGGATTAGATAGCTTGAAAAATATTGTTTTCCTTTTAAGGTTGAGTGAGTTGATTTGTTGGCATCCTGACTCAATCTTACGACTACTGGATCCCAGGAAGACTTCCCCAATCTTTCTCTCTCCTGGATTCAGTTTTCAGAAGCTCCAGTTAACATTACCACTAGGCATCCTGATCTAAAATATGAGAGTTAGATATCCAACATATTGGGATAATTCAAACTGGGAAGGGTTGATTTGAGAGAAAGCAGTCCAATTTCAAGAAATTAATTATTTTGTATAACCCAAAGATATGACATCAAAAACCAGTGCTACGTTTTGCAAGGAAATAGACAGAGGTAGTCAGATTTAGGGAAGCAGTGGGATGATGCAATGTGGCAATTCCTAATCAAGAATTATATTTTAAGCTGTTACATCACAGGCATTTTATATGTAAGAATCTCCCATATAACTGTTCTACCAGATGCTAAAGGTTGTAATAAGAAAAAAAAAACTTTCTTCTATCTTTGGTAGGAATAAAGGGAACCCGTCAATGATACCAATAACTAAAGAAAGGACTGAAATCTCACCAACTTTAGAATTATTACGTATATTTGGTGGAAGGAATACCCCTTGTTGGAAATTATTATCTTTTGCATTAAAAAATGGTTTAGTAAGATTTCACCAATTATGCTGCTTGGAAAAGTCTCTGATAAAAATTATGTTTAAAAACAAAAGTAAGAAATCAAAATTAAACTGTGATTTGCAAGATTTTTTCTCTTTTATAAATGACAAAATGAATATTCATTTTGAATATTCAGGATGTATAAAAAACTGAATCAGCTTATTATAGGATTGTGAAATATAGACACTATTTTATGTAATGTGTTATGATGAAGAAGCTATTTTGTGCAATGTATTATTATAGCATTTCTTATTATAAGCAACTTTATAATTACAAATTAAAAGATGGCTTGTCAAACTACCGTTACCGATTAACTCACAGTGGCTGGCTCATATGTGATCCTGAGCCATAAAAGAGTTCATAAATGGCTTGGAGATATGCTTTGTAGTAAGTGAAACCAACCCCCCCCCCAAATATGATGATTTGTAAACCCAAGTACACAGTAGTGCAGATGCAGCCAGGAGGCGATTGGTGATGGACTGAAAGTGCTGGAATAATCCCATGTGCAACAGAAGATATCCAAGCCAGGCTCATGGAGTTCTGAGTTGCCAGCGTGGGTCCCCTGGCTTCATTTTAAGGGAGGCAGCAGAGAAATAGCATTCAGTCCTAGAAATCTCCTTTTGAAGGATAAAAATACAGTTTTGCTTTTCCTAATGCTGGTTAGTTTGGAGTTGCAATAATGGCAAAAGATGAGGAAGGTCATGGACAACTCTGCAGATTAAAGGAACTCAGAAAACAACAACCAAAGTAGCTGGGAGCTATTCCCTGTTGCATTTCAAAGCAGGGCCATTGTGTCCTAGGGAGTTTCTAGATGAAGAAAGCCTAACTCTATTAAATTTTTCTCTGAGCAGCTATGGAATACTGTTTTTTGCCCCTTCATCTCGCTCAATCCCAACCAAAATTCCATAGCTGAAGGGGCTGAATATAAAACTGCCTGAAGCCAATATTGAGGGCAGCGTTGCTAAAGAAATATCCTTTAGACAAAAGAATAAATAGAAAGCACTCTCAAATTTATCTCTATTGTCTGCAAAATATCATTGCAAAGCTCTTCAGTGTCTTCTCATTATCTCTCATAATGAGTATCATTGGAGGAAAAGCATTTAGTATTTGATTAGTACATTTCAGAAGTTAAGCAGGGGTGCCCCTGATCACTACTTGGATGGGGACCATGTAGGAATTCTATAGTTGTTGACTAACAGAAGACAACAGCAAATGGTCTCCTTAACAGGGCCCTGGGGGCTGTTACAGGTGTTGGTTGGTCATGAACTGAGTTCAATTCAAGAGCTCTTTATATTTTGACAATAGCCCTTTCACCTTGAAAGCATCTTTTCTCCTGACCAGAAGGTCTGGAGAGAATCTAACCCCAAAGCCCAGAATTAGCAATCAAATAATAAAGGTCTAAAAATATTGCTAATTCTGGTTTGTGTGTGTGTGTGTGTGTGCGCGTGTGTGTTTTAAAAAAATCAGGAATTATAGGAGTAGCTGACCTGCAATTTTCCCTCGGTATTGTGACTCACGAATTAAGCAGAATTAGACTTGATCATAACTTAGATAAAAGGCTTCCTGTAGGCTACAGAGGGAACTTGAAAAAAAGACAATGCCAAACTGCTTCCAAAAAAACTACAAGGTCAACAAGTGTTAAAATGGACTCAGAGGAGGCTTTAGACTTAGTTAAATGAGGCTACCTTTCCTCCTCTCGGATGCTGCAGGGTTTCCAGCTATTGTGCTGCTCCACATCCTACAACAAAGGACCAAAAGCAGGGATTCCCTTGAGATGGGACATTTATTCCCAGGTGTCTCCAAGTATTTTTATATCACAAGAATGCTACGATTACTGATCCTGCTAAATTAGATTGCCTTCAATGAAAGCATGGAGACATTGTGATTTTCTCCTTCAAGGCAACTGGAGTGTTGAATGGAGCAGGTCAGCAAATTCACTTTATATTGCAATGCGCTACTATTGGTGGCTATCACTGTTCCAGGATATTATCAGGTAGAAAGTCAGGACCTCTCAGCAGCCTGATAGGACAAGTGCTGATGTGGAATGAGAAAAGAAGATGTGACCTGGGAAACAGATTTGAAGGAAACATCAGATGTTACTTTTCTAGCCCAAAGTACCCCCTCCCCCCTGCTGCTTCACTACTAGCAAAAAAGACAAGTTCCCAATTTTGAGGTTTGGGGTCCTATTTATTTCCTCTGCCAAGAAGGAAGTTCTGACCATACATTCTTGTCAGTTATGCTGGATGGTCTCCCTGCTTGCCCATTGCCTTTTCCCCCACACCAAGGTAAGTTGACAGAGGGAAGATAGTATTGGGAAGGATTTGTTATCTTACCTGCTTACCCTTTTGAAAAATCAGCACAACACCCTGCACGCGTGCACACACACACACACAAGCACGATGGGCCAAGCCACCTTGAATAGGCCTGAAATGGTTATGTATATACAAACAACAAAAAAGGGAAACCCAGCCTGTACAGCTACCTGCAAGCAGTTGTAACAAACTCCAATGTGCACAGGACCTGTTTTCTAAAAAGAAGAACCGAGGGCTGATTCAACTTCCTTGGGTAGCTTTTATCCTGCTTTCTGAGCAAAGAGCAGCATTTACTTCTACCTAGCAAAGGCCAATGGCAAATCTTAAGTAACGCCTAGAAATTTGCACGGGTTAAATCCTTTGGAAATGCTTGAGAATAGCATGGGCCCGGTAGTTTTAAGGAAGGGATCAACTAATGCTGGCCCTCTATGGACAAGGCAAAGGTGAGAAACGGGTGCAACCCACTAAGTAACCACGATTGGCCACCATCTCTACTTTTAAACTGTCACATCGCCAGCCCAGCCACGCCGGGATAGGCCGAAGAGTCTACTGAATCGACGAAGGCGGCAACAGGGAGCCGAAAGGGAAGCTCTCTGCCTCGCCACCTGCCCGGGCCGCACACAAAGAGCTGGCAGATCAGAACGGCAGCTTCTCCGGCCGCTTGGCTTCTGTTTGCTGAAGGTTACGGACGAGAGTAGAATCACGAGGGTGGAGGACTGAGTCATTGTGGATAAATAGGGAAGCTGCATCCATCCGGGAAAGAAAGGGGGGGAGAGACGGGGGTTTGAGCGAGCAGAGACTTCTAGCTCTCTCTCTTGAAGAATCGGCTCGTTTCTCCCCTCCCCTTCCTTCCCCGTCCAGTCTCGTCGCCTTCTCAATTCAGGATGCTGGGCCCGAGCCACAAGCCTTTACGGCCTTGCCTAAAGAAGCGGTGCTCAGATGCAGACTTACCTCTCTGCTCCTGACATCTCTGCGGGGCTGGTTCGAAGGAAGGCGGAGGAAACCGTGCTGGGTGGCGTGCGCCAGATCAAAGGCGGCCAAACCCTGCTAAAACTGCGATTGTTAGAGAAAAGAAAGCCTGGATGGGGAAGGCAAACACCCCACCCCTCGGATAACCGTCGAAGGAAACCTGACTCTTGAGGCACATTTTCTTTATGCCCAGGTCCTGAGGGGAGATGCCATTTTTAGGCCTATGGAGACTTTGCCCACTGTGATACTGCAAGTGTTTTTGCTGTGCTTCAGAAACCTGCAAAACCTGTTTAACTGGAGAATTCAAAGCACACAATCAGAAATAATTATTCTTTCATCATGCCTCCAGCATGCTGAAAGGACCTTTTCCTTTGCCAACCAATTCAGTTGGCACATTTTCTTCTGCAGCACAGTTTGGTTTTGATGCAGGGGTATCCAAAGTTGGCAACTTGAAGACTTGTGGACTTCCACTCCCAGAATTCCCCAGCCAACCATATTGGCTGGGGAATTCTGGGAGTTGATATCAACAAGTCATCTAGTCGCCAAGGTTTCATGCTTTATTCTAATAATCTGGAGCAAAGAACCTGCTCTCAGTCACAGTATTGGCCAAGATCCTGTCTCCGAGATAGGCAGTTTGTGAGATTTCAAGAGTTTCTAATGTGCTCCTGAAAACCATTATTTTTCCTTTCTGGACCTGGGAACTAGCAAGAGTTCCCAAAGACTTGGGAACAGAGGAATTCCCAGAGATGGAAGCTTAGCTAAGTAGGGTTTTCAGACCCATCCTCACCCTCCCTGCCCTTCCATCGGTCATGATCTCCTCCATCTTTTCTGATCTTGTGCCAGCAAACTGTTCCCAGTGTGTCAAGATTTCTTGGATTCATGTGTCCCAAATAGAAATTATGCATTAGACCCAATTTCCTTCCCATGTTTGACAGAAATAATGATTAAGAAGACTTGTTTTTCTTTGGCAGGATAGTTTTGAGGTCTGGTTACTGTCCCAGTTCCAGGGTCGGTTCAAACTGGGAAATAGCCTACTACGTCTGCAATATGGAGAAACTCGGATCACATTGTGTTTGGAAAAGTCCAGGTTAAAAATCACACATGGTTAATGAAGAGTAAGACTGGATTCTGATCCTACAGAACATGTTACCTGTCAGTATGCATGATCTGATTCAATATCGGGCAACTTCACCTATTTGGATGGAGTTTCAAGAGCAGCCTTAGCTAAGTCTAGGTAAGATACGGCCCTGCTCTGCTTAGATTATAGGAGCCTTTGTGCCTATGACTTTTTGTATGCTGATAATGGAGTGGTCTGAATAAAATAAGCTGCAGCTGGTGGCATCATGCATGCAGCTCAGGAAATACATTCAGGGTTCTTTCAGATCTTGGCACATGGACTAGGCTTAGCCCTATCTAATCAAGCATGACATCAAACTGGCTATTGTCCTGCAGCCCTTCCTTCATTAGCATATTTAAAAAAGGGAACAGACTTGAACAGTAGAAGGGATATTGTATATTTTTAATTAATTGCACACACTGTTCGGGTTAACCCTTGCCTTCTCAAAGTGGCTTCCATTCTCCATTCTCAAAAGTGTTTTGCTAAAACTCATTTAGGCTGATCAGATTGGTAGATGGTGACTTCAGTATGTATGTGTGTGTGAGAGAGAGAGAGAGAGGGGGGGGGAGGGGCTTCCTTCTGGCCTCTGCCCCAAACATTGCAAGTTACAGGTTAGTTTTTTGCATTTTTGCAAGGTTCAAGAAGCACTTGATGAGACAACCTACCTGGAAAAACACTGATAAGTCTATAAGTTTACATGACTCTTCCAAATTCATGATCAGATCAATAGTTTCACCTATTATCTTCTCTTCCCTCATATTTATATTATTTATCCTGACTGATCTTGGAAAGCCAAGCAGGGTGAGGGCTGGTTAATATTGGATGGGAGATCGCCAGTAAATTCCAGGGTTGTGGCTCGATTGAAACATCCCTGGAGACTGTAATTGCTGTTGTCATAAAGAAGTGTCCATAAAGTCACCAGAAGTCAAGCTGGACTTCAGGATGATTTTATTTACCTTCCACAGATTACATCGAATTGAACTACAGTACATGGCATTTAACAAATGCCATCTCCTCTGCAGGTATAAATCTTGCCACTGGGTGGGGCTCTGACAGCTTGGTCAACTACAACGTAAACCTTAAGGGAGGAATTGGCACCTGCACCTGTTATGATCAGTGGCTACGAACTGCAGTAAGAACTGCAGTAAGAACAAGTGATTTTTCTTTACTGTCCCCCCTGTCCTAAACCCCACCCAGTGGCTAGGAGCTGGAGGTGACTTGCAAGGTTGTTCAAATATTGATGCACAGCCAGCTTCGGGTGCAGTTTCAGTAGTGCAAATCCAGGACACGCCTATTACATTTTCCTTATATTTCTGGCTAGGATAAAATTTGCGATGGAGAAGGTAATATTGTATACCCTTGAATAATGGGACAACTCAGAGATATGCCTTAGAGGATTTCAAGTGGAAGAGGTCTTGAGATGTAACTCTGGGAGCTTTGTGTACAGCAGGAGTAATAATGGTTTGTGATACATGTGAATAAGAGCTGGAAGTTTCATGTGGACAGATGTGGCATAGAAATACCCCAGTAACTGTTCAGCTGAGCCACTGGCTGTCTGCTGTTTGTTCAGCGGGTCAAGGTGAAACCAGAGGAGAAACTGGTGGGAGACTACATATACCACACATTGAAATAGTATTCTTTCACACTTCAGACTGCTCCTGAGATCAGCTTGCAAAGGAAAGCAAAAAAATTGGCTGCCATCTTCTCCAAACAGCTGCTTTCCAGGTGTTGTGTACTACAGCTTCCATCAGACGTTTCATTATGGGAGGTATGCTAAATCCTTGCTTTTGTTAATATGTCTGGAGTTTCTGGAGAGTCAGTGTAGTGGAGGTGGGTAGAGATGTGAATGGGAACTTAATGGAATATGATGGATTGGCCTCCATTTGGAAGTAAGGCTGACTTCCTGGGTGATGGCTATCTTTGAAACAGGTAAAGAGTTATTCTGAAAAGTTTTGGTTGATTGTCATCTCTGAAAGCAAAATTGTCACAATTATTTGTGATTTTTAAAATTTGTATTATGTGATTAATTTCTCTTGGGCATTTCAATTGTGCATAGATTTTTTTTTATTGTAGGCTAAGGTGCATATGTACGGATTTAGTGGATACACATTTAAGACACAAACAAGCATATTTAAAAGGCTTTAGATTCAATCCTGTAGGAATTTCAAGCCAGCCACTTTCTTTCAGGTGAAATCTGCCTTGCAAAGCTATGTGATAATTCTATTCTGAGGGTACTGAATTCTAATTCTGAAGCTTTTAGGTGTGTTGGCCTATAAACCCCACACTACAACTTTGGTGGCACCAGGTTAAGAAATTTTATCTATCAACCCCTCCCAAAGAATTCTGGCTAATATGGATCCAGGAAATTACAGACCTATCAGCCTGACCTCAATACCTGGGAGGATTCTGGAAAAGATAAACAAACAACGAATCAGCGGACGCCTAGAGTCAAACAAAGTCATTACTAAAAGCCAACATGGGTTTGTCAAAAACAGATCATGCCAGACAAATCTTATTGCATTCTTTGACCAGGTGACAAAATTAGTGGACCAGAGGAATGCTGTGGATATAATTTATTTGAATTTCAGTAAGGCATTTGATAAAGTAGATCACAACCTACTACTTGATAAGACAGAAAAATGTGGGTTAGACAGCATCACCATCAGATGGATTCGTAGCTGGCTGGACGGCCGTACTCAGCGTGTGGTCCTCAATGGAACTGCATCTACATGGACCGGAAGTGTGTAGTGGGGTGCCCCAGGGCTCTGTTCTAGGCCCAATGCTCTTCAACATCATGAACGATTTGGATGAGGGGATAGATGGGGAACTCATCAAATTTGCAGATAACACCAAGCTGGCAGGAATAGCCAACACTCCAGAAAACAGGCTTAAGATACAGGAGGATCTTAAGAACACTGGCCGCTACCTAACAAAATGAAATTCAGTGGTGAAAAAAGTAAGCTTCTACATTTAGGCAAGAAAAATCAAATGTACGGGTATAGTATAGGTGGTACCTTGCTCAATAGTAGTAACTGTGAGAGGGATCTTGGAGTCCTAGTGACAATCACTTAAATATGAGCCAGCAGTGTGCTGCAGTTGCCAAAAAAGCCAACACAGTGTTAGGCTGCATTAACAGAGGGATAGAATCCAGATCACGTGATATTAATACCACTTTACAATGCCTTGGTAAGGCCACACTTGGAATACTGCATCCAATTTTGGTCACCACGATGTAAAAAAGATGTTGAGATTCTAGAAAGAGTACAGAGAAGAGCAACAAAGATGATTAGGGGACTGGAGGCTAAAACATATAAGGAATGGTTGCTGGAATTTGGTATGTCTAGTTTAATGAAGAGAAGGACAAGGGGTGACATGATACCAGTGCTCCAATAGCTCAGGAGCTGCCACAAAGAAGAGGGAGTCAAGCTATTCTCCAAAGCACCTGAAGGCAGGACAAGAAGCAACGGATGGAAACTAATCAAGGAGAGAAGCAACCTAGAACTAAGGAGAAACTTCCTGACACTTAGAACAATTAACCAGTGGAACAAGCTGCCTCCAGAAGCTGTGAATGCTCCAACACTGGAAGTTTTTAAGAAGAGACTGGACAGCCATTTGTCTGAAATGGTATAGGGTTTCCTGCCTGAGCAGGGGGTTGGACTAGATCAGGGCTTTTCACCAATTGTACCACTTTTAGAATATGGCAATATTTAACTACCACCAGTCACCTAGCAAGGTGTCAAAAACTTGATGACCAAAAAAAATGGAAAAAAGTGATAAAGTACAGGTGGTCCTCTCTCACCCCCTTCAATATCATCTCTTCTCTCACCCCCTTTAATATCATCTCTTCCCTCACCCCTTTTAATATCTCTTCCCCACCCTCTTTAATATCATCTCTTCCCTCACCCCCTTTAATATCATCTCTTCTCTCCCCTTAAGCAGGATCCAGGCAATGCCTCTCGCAGCTCCAGCTGAATCTCTGCCTGAAGACTGCACAAGGCTGCCTGCCACCCCCAGTCAGCTGGAGCTGCACGTGCTTATCCTGGGCTCTCAGCAGAACCCAGGCAATGTGTCGCACAGCTCCAGCTGAATCTCCACCCAAAGACTGCGTGAGGCTGCCTGCCGCCCCCAAGGCTGCCGCCAATCAGCTGGAGCTACGCGCTTTGATCCTGGGCTCTCAGTAGGACCCAAGCACCATGCAGTTCCAGCTGAATTTCCCACAAACCTGTGCAGTGGTGCTGCCGCTTCACCTCATCCACTTTTACACTTTTTTAAACATTTTTTTTACAGTGCTGTTCAACCTGTTGTATGCATACCACCTGCCAAGTGCCAACATACCACTAGTGGTACGCGTACCACCGGTTGAAAAGCCTTGGATTAGATGACCTCCAAGGTCCCTTCCATCATTATCATCATCATCATCATCATCATCATTATTATTATTATTACTATTATTATAATATAAAATCAAAGTTTTACGTGGTCCATCTATCCAGTATGTAGTGTCCTTTTGGCTCAGTTCCTAAATAATGGTGGAAAACCTGATTCCCAGTTTTGACACTAACTACTGGTATGATTGACACCACTGAGTTTGAAAGACCCAGCTCTGGATAGGTTCTTCACTTGAAGACAGTATGACAGGCTGATTTGAACAAATTGAATGTGCCAAACATGGAAGATCATGTATTTTAATAAAACGTGCTTATCCCTAGAACTCAAGGCTTCCCCAAGGGAGTTAATTTAGCAGCATGGTTCAGGACAAGTTTTTTCTCTCCCACGTAATGTTTAACTTTCTAGCAGAATTCACTGCCACAAAATGTGTTTATGATGGTTGGAGACGGAAATGGTGTTGAATTAATTTGGTCTAAACTGGCAGAGAAATCTTTACATTACCTGATACTCTGTTTGTAATTACTAGCACAGACTAGAATGCTACTCAATAGCAAGTCTCCAGATCTGAGACTACAAAAGGAGATTGGCAACTTTTGAATATAAATGCCTATGTAGGCACATACATAGAGTATTAATCTACTTCTCGCTCAGGTGTTTGTTTTGGCCCTTGTACTCTAGGTGAGGGCTTGCCTGATAATACCAAAAGCAAACAATCTCTGGTTATAGAAAATGAGAGATTTTTTTTTTTGAAGAACCTTTCCAGTCTAGACTTCTTTCTGACATACTGGCTTTTTCTGTGCAGGAGAAACTCCATTATGTGTTAACCCATACTTGTAAGTCCCAGACACAAAATTATCAGTTCACTGACAGAACTAGGCTTGCCTTCATGTGGGAGGGCAAAATAGGGTATTATTCTTGGCACATGTACATACAAACTTAACGACTCCACTCATGTATGACTTCATCTTTTTATTCCATGCTTCCCATAACTAAATGCATAATTGCAGTGCCTTGATCAAATTATACATGCAGGACTATATTCTAAAATCCTGGGGATAAAATTTGTATGGTCCTAGGTCTTCAAAGTAAGATTTGCCACACACTCTCCAATTCTGAAGTATCTAAACATTTTCAGTTCACTGTTCTCTGCAGTATCTGTACCTAAAGGAATATTGTAGTAATTGCAGGCATAGGGAGCTATGGGCAGCCAGTACAAAATGGTGGCTGACATCTGGAGTAAATTAAATGTGCCAACATCCTTAATGCCCTACGGAAATTTCAACAATGTATATCCCACAGATTTCAATGTTGGCATTGTAGGGAGGTAAAAAGTGGCTCCAGACATATACTTACTTGGAAGTAAGTGCTATTATTGCCAATGCCCTTTTTTTCCAGGTGACTGTCCCTTAATGTTGCAGGTTTAATTGTATTTAATTATTTTTTCTTTGAATGAGACCTACTGAATAAGATAGCATATACCCAGATATGTAGCATGAAATACATATATTGCTAGAATAGACAAAATCTATAAGAATGTGGAGGTAATTTCTTTTCTTTCAGACAACTATCCCTGCTTCTGAATTTGGCACTTGCCTTCAGAGCAAAATCTCAGCTTCCAGGGAAGTAGTAGAAAAAAATGGGAATAAATTTAAATTTTTCTTACCTTTATATACGCAATGTTGTTGCTTTGCCTTAGACATGTTACTATATTTTATTTTTAGCACATCTTTCATTTCTGGGACCAAATCATGTAATAACATTGTGGCTGTTATCTAAAGTATGTGCCACATAATAGATAGATACTGTGCCTGTTCAAACTTTCTAAAGTTGATTAAGACACTATAAAATATATACACATTCAGTATCCATGAGAAACTCTTCAAATGACATTTTGATAGCTTAACAGATAGACTAGAGAATCATCATACCATGTTAACAGACAGCAAACTCCATTGTAAACATATTGTTGTTTTGTGTCAACTTAAACATTGTGGCTTTCTCCATAAAATCTTGGGAGTTGGAGCAATGGGCAAGTAAAAATTCAAGTTTAAGTCTATATTTTCCTTTTTTTTTTGGAAGAAAGAATAATCATTTATATGTATCTACAAAAGATCCTAAAACTGATTTTATGAAGAGTGCAGGTGTCATCTTTCATTTGTAACACTTCCACAGTTTCTTGTATTCTTTTTCTCTACTACAGCAGATCCATTAAGAGACTGGGGAATGCAAAATAGCTTTACACTGTGTTACAATTGATAGCTGTGTGAGCCTATTGTGTGGAAATGCCCTCTAGTTTATGCAGTAATGTTTGAAAATCAGCTATCTGGTGCAGACGTTGTGATATTGAGGATAAATGAGGAGAGTCTAGATGATGGTCTTTGCCTGCCTCAGCTACTAGATAGGTGGTAGTGGACAAATCACTTCTCCAAAAGAGAACATTGAAGAATTGAGGTTGAAATGTCACTCTATCCTCTTAGAAGGAGAGAGGAATTTGGAATTCAAGAAATTCAAAGTGGTTTGCCAGAAATGTAAGTCAGGTAGGAATAGAAACAGATGGCCTATCTTTGAATCTCTGAATTGGCCTGCCATTCACTGCTGGTTTAAATTGGACAGCAGACAGAGCACAGCCATTTATCCAGTTGTATCCCAGGCCAGGAAGAGATATTTGACATGTCCTAGAGCCTGAAGGTGCTTCAGATGCTATTTCTGCAGCCTTCAGGAGGCCACTGTACTTACATCTGCTGCTTTTTTTGAGGTAAGGAACATCTTACCTTACCTTATAAAATCTTTGGCATAAGTACAAAACTTGCTTAATGTAGTTATAATTATTATTAATAATAGTAATCCCACCAACACCCACACCAAGGACCAACATCCAGAACATCTCTTATCCATTGTGTATGACCACTTTATTGACTTCGTTGTATTATTCTACCACGTATAGTCCACGACCAGCAAAAGGTTATCAACCCTGGCCTGCATCTGGGCAGAGCTACAGTATCTAGAAGAAGCCAAGGCTAATATTTTAGATGTTGTTCCCATTAAACTGAATCACTTTATTTATATCTCCCTCTTCCCATTTCCTAAAAGGTTTATATTAATGAGTATTCAAATGATCTCCTCCTTAAAACATTGCATATTAGCTTCAGTACATATATAGACCTGGCACTTGCAGTTTATGCATAGGTTCTTGAATTTATGGCTAGACCTCAGAGCAGAAAAAGAGCATTAAACTTTTGACATATTTTCTAAATGGATTGGTCTTCTAAATTATAATTTTGCCATCCTCCCCATCACCCTGTACATACAGTTAAGGGGACTTGATATCCTACAAAAATATAATACCAAACCCAACTCTACTTAGGCTTTCTGAAACTGAGTTTTATCCCATCTTTCCCTGAATCTATTTATAAAGAATATTTTTTCCATTTATCAAATCTTTATCAAACAGAACTTGCATTTCCAGCTCCAAATCCTTGTCAACAATAATCACTCTGTTATTCCACAGATATGACTTGATTCCAGAGAAACTGGCTTGATTTCTTGTCTTGTGAACATCACTAAGTCCCATCCTCCACAGTGACATCAATGTATCCATAGTAACTACTGACGACTGTTCTTCAAAGTGGAAGGACGGAAGGAGATCAAACAATATGTGGCTTAACAATGAATAAGCTTGGCAATACATACGCACCATGAATTGGTGCCCTAGAGGAAACTGGAAACTTTTTGTTATTTGCTGGAGAAAGGCCTTTGGAGAGAAGCTGGATAGGTGAGGGCCACGCATGCAGGAAGATAGAGCACACTTTTGGTGTCACCTAAGTCACCTAAGAAGTAAAAGATACCTTTGATGAGCTATTGAGGTACCTTTAAGTAAAAGTAAAGTCCCATTTGAACTGTGCCCAACTCCTAGTGACTACAAATTCATGTCAATGACCCTCAGATGTGATCAATCTCTACGATGTGTCTCAATTCATGGTAGACGTTATGAGTTGCAATAGAGAATGCCATTGATCCAGACGAAGGTGAGTGCGTTATGTACTGAAGATTTCCCCTTCCTGACAGGGTGTTAAAGAAGGAAAGGTGGGATTATTCTAAACAAATACTACTTGCCAATCTTGACCTAGAGTTTCCCATCTGACACCATTGCCTACTTTGTCTTGAAAAACCCTCCCAAACTACAACTGTAGAGTGGCTTTCCTGATTAGGCTGCAAATTCAGAAGATGAACATAATGCACAAGATAAAAAAAAAAATTCCCTTACGACAGGATAGTATCATTAATTCAGCTGCCAACTTTGGAATGTTCAAAAGGTTGTCAGATGAGCAATTAGGCACATCTAATTCGTAGGACATAATCCCACGTGATTTTCTTAATTCCTAGGTCGGATTGCAGTAATTTGGAACTCTTGACTCTAGGATATTTTACCATACATGGTGAAAATAGGAGCAGCAGTAGATTTTTGCACTTCTCCTTTCAAGTAAGGCAAAAATAGGATTATTTGGATGAAGATGTTTAGTGTGATGAAATTTAGGATTTGAATGCCCAGAAACCACAACAGAGTGGTGCATTTCTTAAAGCATATCTTGATATGTTGAGCATTTTAAATGAGATTTCTTTCCCTGATTTCAAGAAGCCACTGGAATTAAATACTGAGCATTCTGGAGGGGAAAAAATAGCTGTAAATCTTTAAGACGTTTAGGAAGAACTAAGCAAGTCATTTTCAGCCTTCAAGATGCTGATTATAAAAGAGTTAATTTTTATAAATAAATCTTAATTATTTTCTGCAGTTCAACTACTGTGGCTTTATAACAATGAATAGTATATTTTGGAATATTGCAAAAACATTATGGATATCTCACTATTTAGGGATTCCCCATGTGATGGAATCACTTAAGTGAGATTCAGAAAGGTGGGAGGATTAATGCTTCCAGATAGTACATGCCTGCCTACCCACATGCCAGTCTACTTACTTAAAGGGATCTACACTAAAACAGTTTACTCACCGCAATACCTGCTGAAATTATCCATAAACCAAAATGAAGAATATAGTGTGGAGCTTTGTCACTGGAAAGAAGCAGTGATGAGTAAACTCTGCTTTATTCAAAATGACTTTCAGTTGAGCCTTTGTGGAGTCCTTGGTGCTCTCTGAGCTTGGTTGTCTTTGTGCAGACATTTCATTACCCAGCTAGATAACATCTTCAGTGCACAGTTCAGCCGAGCCCTTGGAAACTGTTTTCCAAGTCACTTCCTAGTTTGCTTTGGTACAAGGATATAATGCCTAGTATTATATTTATTGTTCTCCCAGAAATGTAGTTTGGGTTCACCCACCCATAACAGGCCTTGCTCTCTTCAGATTAAGAAAAAAAGAGAACAGCTTTTCTCAATGCAGGATGGATAAAGTATGTGCCAATGTTAAAAGTAGTCAAGCAAAGTGACCTAAGTGAAGAATGTCACCTCAAAAAAAAGCTGCGGACTGCCACAAATGCATACCAAAACAGATCATTAATAATTTGCGTGCTATCTCCAAGAAGCACTTCCAGTAGCACCCAGTTTCTGAATCTGCAGAATAAATTTGACTAGGCTCCTTGAACATTTTCTTGAGCTTCTTATTGGGATAATAAGCGCTTATCCAACACTTTTGGAAATATTCCTCAAAGTACTGTTTTAACTGTACATGTTTTCCTCAGGATGGAGTTGACTTTATTCTCATATGTGAGTCTGAACAAGATATGTCAGGAGAGCAAGGGATGGGAGTATTCTTTTGCCTCAGTACCCTTGCCTCAAGGGAGAAACAATGTTTTCTTGGGTGGAGAGCTCCTTTTCTATTAAGAACTGCATTCCAGCAGTAGGTGGGTCAAAGGCAGTAATGGGCAGGATCACCTCCTTCATTCTTTCTCCAATCCGTTTTTTTTTTTTTTCTTTTGCCACCTTTTCCATCATTGGTTTCTTTCTTTCCCTCTGTGCCCACTCTTCCTCCCCCACCTCTTCCTCATGTCCTGTCCAATAATTTACCATAGAAGGGAGAGCTTGTTTTGCCATAAAGATGATTGTTATCTCAGAGAGAGAGAGAGACCTTGTGAAATTAGGCCAGTTTGCATGCTGTGATCACAGGTAGTTCACCTTTAAATGACTGGCTCCTCCTGTATGCTCTTCTTAGGTGAAATAGCATCATTTTTTCATGTGTAAACTTCACTGAAATGAACGGGAGTTACATAGTGCCATATCAGTTTACACTGTAAGTAAATGCATTCTATTTTTTCATTTTTATCATCCTGGTTCTAGCATGTTATTTCCTACTTCCTATTAATATGCCACCTCATCTCCTTCTCTCAAATATAATTCTCGTACAAAACATTGCCGGTCTGGTACAGGTAGCTCTTGACTTACAACAGTCCATTTAGTGACTGTTTGAAAATACATCACTGAAAAAAGTGACGTATGACTGTTTTTCACACTTATGACCATTGCAGCATCCCCATGATCATGTCACCAAAATTCAGACGCTTGGCAACTGACTCGTATTTATGACAGTTTCGGTGTCTCGGGGTCATGTGATCACCTTTTGTCAGTTCTGACAAAGTCAATGGGGAGGCCAGATTCACTTAACAACCATGTTACTAACTTAACAACTACAGTGATTCACTTAACAACTGTGGCAAGAAAGATCATAAAATGAGGCAAGATTCACTTAACATCTGTCTCACTCAGCAACAGAAATTTTGGGCTCATTTGTGACTGTAAGTTGAGGACTACCTATAGTTGTCTTAGGTTTTTCTGCAGAGCTGAAATGGTCGTGGCCTTTCTTGATCCCCACCTTCTTTGGGCATTTCGCTCTATACCTCTGGTACCAGTTCCTAAACAAATGGGAAGTCAAGAGCCTGGATTCTAGAAGTATTACAAAGCTTAATTTCTTGATTTGTGTACTGTAGTTGACAAGGCCACTGGACAGCATGTTCCAGCATATTTTCTTCTTCCCAATAAACCAGAATTCCTAGCAGTTTGGCCTAATTGTCTTGTGCTCAAGTGATACAAAGTCTTGGAGAAACAAGTTATGAGTGAGGTCCAGCAACGCTTTCAGCTAGGTGTTTCGTTATAGTTGAAGGAATGCACAATGGCCCTGTCCTCGGATGCTCCTAACTGCCAGGTTAGCATGTGGGGTGGGTGGGGACAAGTATTTACCTTTAGGCATACCAGCGGAGCAGGAAATGAAGTGGCAGCAGCTGCTTCCTCCCTTTCCTTTTTAGCCCTTCTGCTTGCTCGCTTCCATTCACAATAGCATCAGGAAGGAAAGGCAGCCCTGGTTGTTGCAACCTGGGAGTGCCAGGCCACCCTTGGAAATTGGAGGTGGGGGCACCATGAATCACTGAATCTGCAGTTCCTGGCTCTGGCTGTCTCAAATGTTTCCAGGATGGAAGTGGGATTGGAGCAACGGATCCGTGCTAATCTTGGCAAAGGCGTAATTGCACCACCCTCAACTGGCAGTTGTTTTGCTGTGTCTACTGAACACTAGAAGAGACGGAGATCAGTGTTTTTTATATTTTAAAAAGAATCAAAGGTCCTACGCAGAAGAGAAAAAAAAATGTTGAAATTGCAAATGTCCAGGGCAGAAGAGGAAGGCCTATTCAGTTCAATTCATTATTAAGAGCACTGCAGGAAAGGCTCCCCTATTTCCCAAGCAAGCACACACCCAACCAAGAGTGGGCAGGATTCATAGCAATCTCTGTTTTGGGGATGTTCAAATCTTGCATGCTCTGCTTGATGGTAATGGATCCAGCTGGCGTTTGCACCCACGCCTGCTTTAGGCTATCTAGCACACAATAGGGCCTTTGTATTGCAGCTCTATATGGGAAGGGGATTATGGCATTACATTAAAAAGGGACATGAAGATCAAGAGGGAGCCAGAGCCTGGGAATTAGAGATGGGGAATTATAATTGCACAATCTTGGGGATCCTAGACTTGAAGAGCAGGCATCAGTTGTAGCTAGGAGGGCCTTTGTACAATGTTGTATTGTGCACCAGTGGTGCCAGTTCCTAGATTGAGGGGCACTACTCACGTTTACTCATGCCTGAGTCACCTCCCTGCTTGACTACTATAATGTGCTTTACATGGGGCCACTCTTGATGAGTATCCAGAAGCTTCAGCTGGTGCAAAATGCAGCAGTGCAGGCAGTTAAGTGTGTTTCTAGTAGAACACACATTACACCTCTGCTCCATAAGCTAGTCTCTTTCTGGGTCCAATTCAGGGTGCTGGTTTTAAAATCCTGCTGGGCATGGGACCTGGGTTTGACCCTTTGCGACCTTCTGACAAGCAAAGTCAATGGGGAAGCCAGATTCATTTAACAACCATGTTACTAACTTACAAACTGCAGTGATTCACTTAACAATTGTGGCAAGAAAGGTTGTAAAATGGGGCAAAATTCACTTAACAAACAAATATCTCACTTAGCAATATAAATTTTGAGCTGAATAGTGGTTGTAAATTGATTGTTTGGTATTAATTAATTGTTTTTATCCTTATTGTATACTACCCAGAGTCACTTGTTTGTGAGATGAGTAGCCATTTATTATGGGTGGTATTTAAAAAAACAACAACAAAAGTGGGAGCCATCTTAAGAACATACAGGAAGGAAGAATGTCAGGGTAGAGTATTGTGGCTCATTCAGGGCGTTTTGCCTCTTGAGAATGAAATGGTGGTCCTTTCTATGTAATGGAAAGTCTCCTGTTCTTCTTCCATGAACAACATCTGCTCTAAGCTATAATTAGAGATTATGATAACAGCAGGGATTCGTGTGTATGTGCATGTATGCGTATTTATTTATTTATTTATTTATTTATTTTCTATTGCCACCTATTTCAGCCAAAGCTTTAAGAGAGAAAGAAAGATTATTTTTCTCCTTCAATTTATTGACAAGGGGCATTAAGACACTTCCATGTCTTTTGATTATAATGGCAGGAGTCCCCCTATAGATGATGGTATGACTTGGATGCTCGATATAAAAATGAGTGAACAAAGAATTTAATTCTGCATAAAATCCCTAATATGGGGTGAGTGCATGCAGAAGTGGAAGCGTGGATGTGTGTACTACACATACACACACAAATACACACATCTTCAGCCATTCATACCTCTGTAATTCCTGTCTCTGTGCTTTTCCGTTTTACTCATTTCCAGTCTTCTTTTCCTTCCAAACCATTCCCTTAGACGTAATCTTTCCTCCCTATGATTCCTTCTTATTGTTTTGGACATCCTTCATAATGCTGGCTCACTGAACTTTCAGACAGATTCTCCTTCCATTCCCACATCCACTTATTTTAAAGACCAGAATTCTGCTGCCTCTCTCACATCCCTTCAACACCAGCAACCATTGCCCAGATTTTATCAGAAATTCATTTAGCAAACGTAAGAGATTTTGGCATACAATGAAGATCGAGTGTTTGTTTTGTTTGTGATTAGTTATAATTGTATAGAAAGAATTAATTTTAAATAAATACTGGAACTGAAAACCAGATTTAGGTTTTAATCAAGATTAGCACTGAAGATGTTACCTAGTTTGGGTAATGAAATGTCTGCAAGAAAACAAACAAGCTCAGAGAATACCAAGGACTCTTTAGAATAGGTTTTGTAAGGTAAATTGACATATTTTAAAATATCACTAAATTAATTTTTGTCTGGAAACATGGCATGTCAAAGAACAAACCTGAGAGAAGAATATCCCAGCAAACAAATGATTAATACATTTGAAATTTTTTGTCGACACGACAGTTATCTTCCCAGTTTTGCTATTTGGTGTGGTCACCTGTGTCCTACTTTCAGGATAGTCCTGTAAGTGTTCTCATTTTGAAGGTGGCCCCAGTTTCTCAGTTTATATTAACATATGTTAATTTCATTGAAATCAGCATCCTCTTTTGTGATCATGCCCAATTGGTCATCCTACCTCACTTTTTCTATTCTTATTCTACCAATGCATTCTCTGCTTTAATACTAAATCTCTCTTCATTGGTTTCTCTCATCTTTCTTCAAGAAAGCCAAGTAGAAAGTCTTTGAAAGTTGTGAACAGCATGAAGGCTTTAAATAACTCCATAAAAAAGACATCCACTGAAGTTCTACAGTTAGTGCAAGATTTCACACACAACATCTTTTTTCATAGAAGCAACAAAGGAAGTTCTTTTCTATGTTGGATGAATTTAAGAACTGTAGACACAGTTCTTGGATGTTTGTTATGAAAATGTCATAATTCAGAACAGATATGTATCAAATTTGCATTTACAGAGAGGATGTTGAAGTAACTATACTATTTGTTGTTTTGCCCAGTGGTTTCCCGAAGCGTATCTCCGCTCAACCAGATAGGTCGTTAGTACTCCTTGAGTTGGCCTAGGAATAAATACTTTGCAGTCTAGTCTGTGTAACAACCAGATTCTGATTTCGCCTGTATAACAGGTAAGTTATAAGTGCTGCATTTCCTGGCTCTCTTGTTGCTTTGTCTTTCTGGACTAAATTATGGAATTTTAATTTGACAATGGCCTTTAATGTTTCTTTTTTAACAAAGCAAATAGTTATGGATAAGATCAAGATTTAGACAACTGCATGTGAGAATGGTTCTTTCAAACACTTCCCTTCTGTTACAGTCTCAATAAAAATTCTCCTCTGAAGCTGCTATTCGCTCAAGTGGGAAGTTGCTAAACTGAGTAGGATAACAACTTCAATGAGGATCAGTTTTCAGTAGCTCTATTAAAGTGGGAGAGAGAACTTTGTCCAATTGTGATTAGATTCCCCCTCAGGTTTTATTTTGTTTTTAACATTGGCCTGCCAGTTGCAGCTATATATGTTCAATAGCTCCTCAAGTTCGTTCCTTTATAAAATGGCTTCCTTTCTGCCAAACCAGTTGAAGTGAGCAAGTTTCATTTCATGTGCAGAATCAATGATTTGGAAAAGGATGCTGAAATCTTTTTCTTAATGTTTTCTATCAGCCCGTTTTTAAGAATTTTAGGCCTCTGTCTCCATTCATGACTTGTCTGTTTGAAATCACATTTATTAGATTCTTTGTGCTTTACAGCTCTTTGGTGGGGACCAATATCCCGCCAAAACGAATCTGCTGCTGCTGCAGCTGCTGAGTAGGACATTCTAAAATATAATAGGACCTTCTGCCTGCCACTCAATCTCTTACAAGGGTCCCTCACAAAATTTTCCTCCAGTCTGATGGCACAATCATGCTTGATTCCTTGCTCTTGCAAATGCTGACCGAACAAAAACCAGAGTTCTACAGTAATATACCAATTGCATAGGGTCTTCTCCCCCCCCCAGAGTATCACATTAACATGATCACGCATAATATATTAAGAGTGGGACTGAATCTTTCAGATCATTCAGAACAGAACTCACTCTTGGATTTTTAAAAGATGTTTTGATTGCTTTTGATAATACCAGTATACTTGAACAAAAAACAAAATTCACCTTACTGGCAGAAAAAAT